GGAGAGCCGTCTTTACCGACTGTACACTCCAACTCCCTCTACTCCCCCTCTTGTCCAGATCTAGGCTAACATCAGATTTTAACCATAGGCCCTATCAAATAAAAATGTTTTAAGCCTAGTCTTAAAAGTAGACAAGGTGTCTGCCTCACGAACTAAAGTTGGGAGTTGGTTCCACAGGAGAGGAGCCTGATAACTAAACGATCTGCATCCCATCCTAATTTTAGATATTCTGGGAACCACCAGTAGACCTGCAGTCTGAGAGCGAAGTGCTCGGTTAGGGACATATGGAACAATCAGATTACTGATGTATGATGGAGCTTGATTATTAAGAGCTTTATATGTGAGAAGAAGGATCTTAAAATCTATTCTGAATTTAACAGGTAGCCAATGTAGGGAAGCTAAGACAGGAGAGATATGATCTCTTTTTAATTCTCATCAGAACTCTAGCTGCAGCATTTTGGACAAGCTGAAGACTTTTAACTACATTCTGTGGACTTCCTGAGAGTAATGAATTACAGTAATCCAGTCTTGATGTAATAAATGCATAAACTAATTTTTCAGCATCACTCCTGGAAAGTATGCTTCTAATCTTAGCAATATTCCGAAGGTGGAAAAAGAAAAACCTACAAACCTGTTTAACTTGGGATTTGAATGACATGTCCTGGTCGAAGATAACACCAATGTTCCTTACTTTGTTCTTGGAGATTAATGTAATGCCATTCAGGTCAGGTGATTGACTAAGTGATTTCCTTTTCTGGATTTCTGGTCCAAAGATGAGAATTTCCGTCTTGTCTTTATTTAAAAGCAAAAAGTTTAGAGTCATCCAATGTTTTAATGTCTTCAAGACAAGCCTGTAATCTACCTAACCGATTAGATTCATCAGGGTTAATGGATAAATATAACTGAGTATCGTCAGCATAACAGTGGAAGTTTATCCCATGCTGTCAAATGATTTTACCAATTGGGAGCATATATATAGTAAAAAGAATTGCTCCAAGCACTGAACCCTGTGGTACTCCACAATAACCCTGGAGAATGGAGATTCGTCATGTACATTTACAAAAGGAAATCTATCAGACAGGTAGGATTTAAACCAGCCTAGCATTGTTCCTTTGATCCCTACAACATGTTCAAGTCTTTCTAAAAGAACATTGTGACCAACTGTGTCAAAGGCAGCACTGAGATCTAACAAGACGAGAACAGACACAAGATTCTTATCTGAGGCCATGAGAATATCATTTGTAACTCTCACTAATGCAGTTTCAGTGCTGTGATACTCTCTAAAACCAGACTGAAATTCCTCAAACAGAGCATTAGTGTTTAAATGCTGACATACTTTGATGGCCACTATTTTCTCCAGGACTTTGGATAAAAATGGAAGGTTAGATATTGGTCTATATTTCATTGGGTCATCTGGATCCAGAGAAGGCTTCTTAAGTGAAGGCTTGATTACAGCAACCTTAAAATCCTGTGGTACATATCCATTTACTAAGGATAGATTGATTATATCTAGAATGGGGGCAGTAACCAAAGGAAATACATCTTTAAATATTTTGGTTGGGACTGGATCTAAAATGCAAGTTGAAGGTTTAGATGAAGCTAATATTTTTGATATCTCTGAAAGCTCAACTGGATCAAAACGGTTCAAGCACAGATGAGGTTCTACAGTCACCTCTGAAGCTGCCTCACTTACCGAGGAAGAAGAAATCGCATTAGGGAGGATGCTTAAGATTTTGTTTTTAATAGAATTAATTTTACTTGTAAAAAATCCCATGAAGTCATTGCTGCTGAGGGCTAAGGGAATAGATGGTTCAGAGCTATGATTCTGTGTAAGTTTGGCAACTGTACTGAAAAGAAATTTAGGATTATGCTTATTCTCCTCAATTGATGCTGAAAAATAAGCAGTTCTAGTTTGTCGAAGCTTGTTTTTATAAAGCACAAGACTATTTTTCCAGGATAAGTAGGACTCTTCCTGGTGCGTAGAGCGCCATGTTCTCTCCAATTTTCTAGAGTAAATGTAAATAGGCTCCTCTGGAGAACATCAGGTGCTGCAGAAGCCTGTTAATCAGTCATTAATTTATGTCAGGTGTGTGGCAGTAGATAAACACTAGTGTTTGAAAGGGCAACATGGAAAACAGGTAGGACAGAGGGGTGCTGAGGACCAGGGTAAAGAAACCCTGGATTAGATGGTTGGTTTGGGCCAAATGAGTTTTTCTTTAATTTATTATAAATAACTGATACATACATTGTTAGCATTTACAGGTGATTTTTCTTTTTACCACAAAACTAAAGGGTCAATTAGAATTAAAAAAATAGCCTCTCATTCTGTTTCCGTTTTCTGTCTGGTTGCTTCTTTCCTCCACTCACTTTATAAATATCAAATCGATGGTGAAAAGTAAATAAATATTGGTCAGTAATTTCGTTAAAAATTGTGACCCTTTTTCTTTCCTTCATCGTTCCATCTGAACCCATGCTGGACTAACTTCAGTGGTTTCTAGCTGAGCAGATGGTGTAGGCAGTGGAAATTTAGAGAAGCAGAACTGGAAGTTGGATCAGACCACACTTGTCAAAAATTAGAATATTTCACACCTCGGTGATGAATTGGAGAGTCCGCCTTCAGATTTCTATGAAATATTAGTAAAGTCAGTGACACAAAATGTGTTTTCTATATGATTTTGACTGGATGTGATAAGAAAACAGTGTGTGGAGCTTTTGCTTGAATCAGTTGGACCACATTTCAACTGTGACTTCCCACTCATTTCATAAATGTGCACAACATTTTTTACGATGGCACAAGACATAGTTTTGTAAGTGAAAACAGAGGCATCCCTATGTTTTTGTTTTATTCAAATGATTTAGTAATTAAATATTAACAATAATAACAGCTGTGAATCATAAGGTTGCTTTATTATAATGCCTGTGTCATTTTCTTTTACCTATCAATAGCTTGCAGACGTTTATATTTTAATGATTTATTCTATTTATTTTTTGCCAAGAACAACATGGCCTGAGATGTTCTCTTTGCAGTCCAAGTTTATGTTTTCCCAAAAATAAAAAATGTTCTATATCTCTGACTCCAGCTGTGCAGGAAGATTTTAATTAGTCTCCTTACTGTTTGCTCAGCCCCAGCCTTCTAGAAATAACTATAACGAAAAATTTGGAATATTCACTCTTGTTTTGCCACATTATTCAAGGCTTTGTAAAAGTGTGCCATCGTGAAAATGTGATAGGAAGCTCATGACAATATAGAAAACTTTATTTATTTTAATAAAAATAAATAAAAAAGACTCGTTTAGAAAAAACCTCGGATTCATGAGGAGCTATGCAGTTCTCGGAACCAGCTCTATACCCTTAGGAGGGTCCTGGAGGGTGCGTGGGAGTTCCCCCAGCCAACCTGCATGTGTTTTGTGGATTTGGAGAAGGAGTTCGACCAAGTTCGGCCAGGGTGTTGAGGGGATCCGTTTTCTTAGACTAAGGATTGAGTCTCTGCGTTTTGCAGATAACACGGTCCTGTTGGCTTCATCGGAACGTGATCTCCAGCTCTCACTGGGGCGGGTCGCAGCTGAGTGTGAAGCAGCTGGGATGAGAATCAACTCCTCTAAATCAGCGACCATGGTCTTGAGTCGGAAAAGGGTAGAATGCCTTTGCCGGGTCAGGGATGATGTTCTGCCCCAAGTGGAGGAGTTTTAGTGTCTTGAGATCTTGTTCACAAGTGAGGGAGAACTGGATCTCAACATCGACAGGCAAATTGGTGCTGCATCTGCAGTGAAGTGGATGTTGTGCTGGTCTGTCATGGTGATGAGAGAGCTGAGCCAGAAGGCAAAATTCTCGATTTACCGTTCGATCTACAATCCTACCCTCACCTATGGCCACGAGCTTTGGGTAGTGACCAAACGAACAAGATCGAGGAAACAAGCGGCTGAAGTTTTCTCCGCAGGGTGTCTGGGCCCTCCGTTAGAGATAGGGTGAGATGCTCGGCCATCCGGGAGGGGCTCGGAGTAGACCCGCTGCTCCTCGATATCGAGAAGAGCCAGTTGAGGTGGCTCGGGCATCTGGTTAGGACGCCTCCTTGACATCTCCATGGCGAGTTTTACGGACATGTCCAAATGGAAGGAGACCTAACGGAAGACCCAGGACACGCTTGAGGGACTATGTCTTTCAGCTGGCTAGGGAACACCTTGCGATATTCCCGGAGGAGCTGGCCTAAGTGGCTGAGGAGAGGGAAGTCTGGGCCTCCATGCTTACACTACTGCCCCTGTGACCCAATTCTGAATAGGCGGCCTAAAATGTATGGATGAATGGATAAAAAAACCTTTAAAAAGCCAAATTCATTTGAATTCAGCGAAAGATGCACTTTAAAAAAGCTGTGAATTTTCCAGTATTTACAGTAAAGTTAATAATGAGATCATGCACTGAAACAAGGTTAAACGATACGGTCTTTCATGTAAGATGCCAGAGGAAAAATGAAAGTGTTTTTTTATTTTGATGTGATCTGAAGCATTTAGCACATAAATGTTTCCAAAGGGCCAGTCCTGCCGTAAAAAGGATCTGATCACAAATGACAGGCAACATTTCTGGTCCAACCCACTTGTAGACTTCCTGTTCTCTGCCACGTGTGGCAGTGTAAGCGTCCTGTCACAGTGTTCCGATTGATCATGCGCCCTGGCTACTTGGCCAAGGGGATGTCCCCTTTGGCTGACTGGTTATTGCGCATGACTCTCACCCAGGAGTCTGAGGATCGAATCCCGGCCGAATCCTCGTTTCTCCACCTTGTCACACACGCTTCAGGCAAATTATCCCATTCATGGTTAAAAAGAGAAGAAAGAAAGAGAGAGAACAGGTAACAAATGAGTGCACATTTAGACATATGCCTCAAAAATCCTAATTCATAAATCGTATAAATAAAGCTAACATCTAGCTAACATTGTCATTCTTGTAGTCTTGCCACAGTCATCCTGTCATTCTAACTATGGCGACTGTCATTTATTCTCATCCTACAGATATACAGCAGTTGCCATGCCGATGCTGTACAACACACGCTACAGTTCCAAGAAACGAGTCACTGTAATGATCTCTGTGGTCTGGGTGCTGTCTTTTGCCATTTCGTGTCCCCTGTTGTTCGGCCTAAATAACACAGGTAAGAAAATTCAATCATTATCTTCTCTACAGAAACTGAAATCCACATTCTGTATTTGTGAAGCTGAAACAGCAGCAGGGCTCAGGAAATCACCTCATTTTGTGAAGAGTTGCATATCCCAAGAAACTAACGTTATCTTGAGTAAACATTGGGAATGTAGGGTGTTTGTCATGAAAAAAGGGAGCTTTTATGCAGCTCCTAATCAGAGCTGTTCAAAGGCTTTTTGGACAGTGTCAACCTGTTTCTTATCAGCTCTTGTGGCTCGCATCTTGTTGCTTTGAATTTCCTCGTATCCCCCTGAGAGCCTTGATGTAACGTAAATTCATCCAGAGCTCAGACCTTTCAAACAAGCTGTGAGTGAAGATGCAGCCGGTGGGTGATACAAAGCAGGGTTTACAGAAGTCATGAGTCTGAAGATTTGTTGCAACTCTTCTAAAAAGCATGCAAACACTTATTTTGGTTTTGAAAAGATCATTTAAAGGGTAACTAGGTAGTTTTAGCTTGCGTTTAGCACCCCCAAGAATCTGTTTTAACTCATTGTCATGAAATCATGAGGGAAACTTATCTCCTTGCTGTGCGTTTGGTTTTTTATCACCTCAATCTAAGTGCCGAAATGTCTCCTCAGCCTTCATTAGTTTCTACAGGAGGGGTTCATCACTAAATCAAACAATCAGCTGTGTTCACGATCTAAAACATCCAGGAAATGCAAACTCCAGCGCTGGAATGCCGGCTCCACACGACTAAAGTGGAACCTAACTGGGACCAGACCAGCAACTCTGAAGTTACAAGTGTGGTATTGGTCTGAGTGACATTTCATTAACCCTGAAATGGGTCATTTTAGCACATACCGGCTCAAGAATACTTGCATAGTATGCCTTTAAACTTCAGTGAAATACTTTTGTAGCATCACCAGCCCAAATAGTGAGGACACAATGATGTAATGTGCGGGTACCATAGCATAAAGGTTAGAAATGGGCAATCCATCGATGAATTTGGGCCTGACTTCTACCCCTTGCTTCTAATCAGTTTTTTTTTTTTGCTCGGAGACCCATTAGGTCCAAAAGTCTTTGTCACATTTGGCAGGACAACAAAGGAGACTTTATCTCCAGCACAAAGATGTGCAACCACAATGTGGGCTGCAGTTTGCAAAGAGCAACTCTCACAAGTATTTCTCTTTGCTCTCTGCAGCTGAGTTTAAAAAAGTAGCAACAGAAAAATGAACCCCTACTGCCAAGAAGAGAATGTGAAGTGGTACTGTGAACTTTAAAAGGGTTTAAGTAGTCCTTAAATCCACTGAAAAATACTTTCGTTCGGGAAATCTTCAGCAAGACCTTTACTGCTCCAGGTGTGCAGGCTGAATAAACCACTGACTCCTTAAACTGAAAATAAAATATCTCCTCTTTACATAAGAGTGTGTATGGGTTCAGTTGTACTGCTGCAAGATTCAAATTGGGGAGGCTTTATCTCATTTGGCACCTGATTTAAACCATATGGCAGCATTCTGGATGAGTGATAAGACTTGCAATAGATGGAGGCGTAAAAGAGGGCACGCTGTGTGACTGACCTCCAAGTGAAGGGAGTTTAGAAGAGTGATTGCATTTTCTTTTTGGCTATTCTTAAAGCAATCAGACCCAAAGAACGAGCCATAGTTCGAGCCCAACAAGCGCTCTTCTTTTCTTTGGATAGTGCAGTTGAATGTTTTTATTCACTGTGTTCTTATCTCCCCAGCTACTCGTGATGAGACTCTCTGTGTGATCGCCAATCCAGCCTTTGTGGTGTACTCCTCCATCGTGTCCTTCTACGTGCCCTTTATCATCACCTTGCTGGTTTATGTGCAAATTTATGTGGTCCTGAGGAAGCGCAGGAAACGTGTGAACACCAAGCCAAAGCGTCGCGTCTGTCAGCCTGCTGAAACGGACGTAGCCACTTCGCTGAAGGTGAGCAGCCGCTGAAATACGACGCCTGTTCACAACCAGCACATTTATGACTTCAGTATGAAGCTTCAAATGATTTACCTCTTTGTTACACTAGAAGTCTTTTATATATAGTATTTTACCATGTTAGAGGAGCAATTTGCCAGCTCATTTGTAAAAGAAAACTAAAACTTTTCATTAGTTTTTGTCCCCAGACAGGGCTTTTCTTTTCTCTTCTCTTCTTCCATTCAATTATATGTGATTGCTTTACAGGAGGCATTGTATGAAACAGCAACACACCAGGAAGGAAATATCCTACAGGGGGAATAATGATTTCCTTATGTTTGAAAACACAGAACTATGGATTGCTTTCGTACTTTAAAGGAGACATAACATGAAAAACCCACTTTTTTATCCATTAACACGGTGTGTTTCACATTTTAAGTGTCTAAGTGAGCAAAAAGGCTTATATTATTCACTGGAGTTGCTATTTAGATATTTAATAATTAAGTTTTGGGCATATTTGTCCACCCGTTCAGTTTTTACATTATCTATTACATCAGTAATTAATTTAGTGAGGATAACTACCAAATATGATAATGGCCCTCGGCTAAACACAGAGCCAATCCGCCATTTTTTCTTCTCGCTAAGATTTTTTGTAGTCCTATTGGAAAAATGCAGAATGTCTGGTTATTTTAGCCACACACAGCTCAAAACTGTTCCTCGTTTTAAGGAAGGGTGGTGTGGCAGTATTTAAACCCAGGAGCTGATGACACTACTGCTAAAAAAACACAGAAGAAAAAGTAGTGTGTTTGCGTTTGTTTGTGTGTGTGTGTGTGCGTGCGCGCGCGTGGTTCGTTCGTTCTGTCTCCAGGCTAGTGGCTAAGTACTGAGGGCTTCATCTATCTAAAAGGAGTTATTTCCATCTGAATTTGGCAGCACCGGGACACAGCAGCAGAGCGGTAAGCTTCATATCACTCTAAAATGTCGACAAACTTTATTTTAGATTTACAGGCATTAGCAGCACTAAAGCGTTAGCATCCGGCTTGCTATCGCTAGCACAGTATGCTAGTAAAGTTAGCACCCAGATTAATGTGGATTTGGCTGATTTTCGTGGAATAAAACGTGATTTCTGATCAACGCCTTCTTTTACACCAGATGATAACCTCCCACTGATTGTAACAGCAGAGAGCCTGTGTGTTATTCTACATGAGTGTGATGTAATCTTAGCATCCAGTAAATAAAGTCCCATATCAGCTAAAATGCAGCGTGACAAAGTCATTAAAGTGCGTCAACACAGTGGATTTAATAGAGTTTTAAAGAACGATCTCTAAGTGAAGTGAGGTTAGTTTTTTGTCTCACTGCAGATATAAAAACTAACTCTGCATCAGTCAGACGCAGCAAAGCTCACCGTCTGTATGAGCGTGAGCGTCGGAAAGCTGATCAAATTGGCTGTAAAATAATTAAAACAAAGTAAAAATGTTCCTTTGCTTTTTAGAGTCCACATCCAGAAGACTGGAGCCATGTTTCACTGACAGGCTGTCAGACTAACGCCCTGATGAGCTCAGCTGGGACAAACTGGTCTGATGTTTAGGTAAGTGAAGATCTGCTTCTCCAAGTCCTTGAGATGCTAGTAAAAAATAATTTAGCCAGCTTGCTAATGTTACTTTTCTTCTCCTCTAAGGAACACAGAACGTTCAGATGTTGGCGTTTCACGTCACCTACTGAGGAAGGAGACCCACCAGTAAAGAGACGGTCTGGACCAGACCAAAGTGAGTGATGACACACCTCAGCCACCCTCATCATTAAGAACACCTCACCCCCTGAATCACTCCGTCTGATGACAGCAGAGTGATTTATTTGATGTTTTACTTGTTTAGTCTGTTTAGAAATTATTGAATTACATTATTTTCTGTAATCGACCATCTGATCTGGATGTGTGCAGAATAACTTTCCCCAAATTCAGCAGCAGCTGGCCTACAAAAACAGCTGCAGCATGTAGTGAGTGTCTGCACCGCTCTCTAATGAGCTTCCTTTCATAAGGAATCATTTGTATAATTTTAGTGTCACTATTTTATTACATTTGTAGGAAAATATGAAGTCACTGCAGCAAAGTGAACTTGTGAACAAACACAAACGTGACTATAAACATGAAAGCTAAAGAAACAACTTTCCTAAAGCTGCTTGTAAACAAAATATGTCATTAAAGTTATTGTCTATCATTGCAGAATATGGCGATGACATCATGGAACTGGTCTTTGGAAAAGTTTTCCCTGAACCAACTCCGTTTCTAGATGAGGTAGAGAAGATCTGCATCTCACCAACTCTCTGGTCTCAGTATTCAGACAACGGAGGTCTCCCACTGTTGTCCAGGACCAGTTTGAAGCCCACATACTGCCCCTCCCTCATCATCAGGAAACATCAATCCGTATCCTGAGGACAACAGAAGACGGCAGGAGGACAGGAACTCTGAGACCTAGACCACCAGCACCGAGACACAAAGCACCTGTGTGCACAACGCCTGTTTTAACTACTAAAGCCTGTTTATTATATTGTTCTACTTATTTGCTGTGAGGTTAATACTTAGAAAATTTGTATATTAATGTAAACAATAAAAAAATCACTGATTGTATGCTTTCTTTTAGATGTAATGGTCCAAACTCAGCCTTGTAGACATTTATTGCACCCTGTAGGTAAATACACAGAACAGGCTCAGGTCCAGGATGACCCAGCATGCTCTTCTTCCATTCTGGCTGTTAGGGATTGTATCAATAACTCAATGCCTACTGATGTTTTCACCTAACGGTATTTATTTAGAATGCAGGTAAGATTTAACTATATTTGTTAGCAAAGCAGACTGATCTTGGGAATTTCACTGCAGCACTGATGTCCACCTCTCTGTACACATTAGAGAGAATTACCACTTTACAGCTAAACACATTTAATAAAGATATAGGCTACGCATTGCAGACAATAAAAACAAAGTTGTAAGCATTAGAATTATAATGATGACATTAAAGAACACTTGGAGGAATGTTCTTTATTTTTGACTAGAATCTCAAATCTTTAAATTAAAATGTAACTGCTTTTTATCCATTTTCAGCCATTAAGACACCCAATATAAAATAAGACTACTTATAAAATTATTTATAATTATATGTATGTATATAGATAGAGATCTTAATAAAATATATTCTTTGAATGGTGTTTTAATGAGCTGTATCATTTTTTTAAACATTTTTTACAGAAATAAGCAAGCAGCATTCCTTGTGTGTGTGTGTGTGTGTGCGCGCGCGCGCGCGTTTGCGTGCTCGCTTGTCCCTCCGTCGGCCGTGACGGGTGTGTGTGAGTGACTACAGACAAATGCATGAGAGAGTTAGCAGCCATGAAACAGCTTGATGAACTACTCTCCCCACGTGGTTTAAAAATGCTAATATGCTATGCTAAATCTGCTATTCTAAATCATGATTTCTCTATAGAACTACAAAGTCCGACTGGGGGAGGAGAGTACAGGACTGCACTATGGAGGGGGCGGAGTTTACGGCTCCTCCTCCAGTTTAAAGAGACAGTACCCCAAAACGGCTCGTTCTCAAGACTCTCCTCAGAACTGGGGTAGATGAGGGTCTGTAGAGCAACAATAATGAGGAAATCAGACCAAAGAACTGCAGTTCCACTGTTTTTAGACCCCCAACTGAAGGATTTAGATGTAAAAAGGAATAACTTAAAAGCATGTTATGTCTCCTTTAACTGTTACATTAATTTATATGTTGGTAAAATAAACGAAAATGTCATTTTGCAGCTGAAAACTTAGTCGGGTGAATAAATTGGTGTTTAAATAAAAAAACGAATCTTTTTTTTAGCTCTGCCCTTGACTGATCTGAAAGACACAACTGTTCTGTTCTTAAACAACCTCCTGTCAGTGGCTCTGACACTGTACTCTCCTTGCATGACACAGCATTTTTTTTTTCCATTTCAGGACAAGTGCACTCATCCAGAGGATGTGAGGTTGTGTACCATGATTGTTAAATCTAATGGAAGTCTACCCATGAACAAGAAGAAAGTGGTGTGTTTCCCCTTTTTTCCCTTTAGAACAATTATTTCCCCCTTCAGATCATTTTTGCTGAAACAAAACACAAACGTGTGGTATATCTATTGCCTGTAATCTAGTTAAAATGATCATCTGAATCTGTGTTCTGCTGCTGATGTTCAGATTTTTATCAAAGATGCGGCCACTGAGGGGGAAGATTTGGAGCTAGATGAGCTGAACAACAGTGGCAGCAGCCAGAAGCAGAAACATCAGGCACAGGGTGTTCTTGGAGACACTCCGGCCACCAGCCACCAGCAGCTAATGCCTGACAAGGCCAATGCTAGCCCCACCTCCACACCTCCCACACCTCCTGAGGAGGGCCACAAAGCGGAGAAGAATGGCGAGCCCAAGGAGGCTCTGTCAGAGCCAGCGCCTGTTATAGCCAAAACCTTCCAGACGCAAGCCTTACCTAATGGCAAGACTCAGACTTCTGTTAAAACCATGAGCAAGAGAAAGATCTCCCAGCAGAAGGAGAAGAAAGCTACTCAGATGTTAGCCATTGTTCTTGGTATGTTGAAACATTTCTTTTGTAACTTCCTGTTTTGTTCAAATCATTCTGTGTTTTGTTTAAATTGAGCTCAGATCACAATCATAAAATCACACCAGAACAGAACAAAGCTCAACCTGATGAAAACCAAATATTTGATCTGGTTCTAGCTAATCACAAGGAGCGGTCCTAGTAGTAATTAGTCGTCTATTTGAAGGCTTTTATCTTCATCTAAAAAAATTGGAAAAACCTAAAAGATCTTAAAACAATGATGCAAGAAAACACACACACGTGTTTAAGATTTAGGGCGTTTTCCCCGTTCCCTTGTTTTTCTCCAACTCATGCCCTTTTTTCCACTCTTATCTCCTCAGGTGTATTCATCATTTGTTGGCTGCCATTTTTCATCACACATATCCTGAACACCCACTGCACCAAATGCAAAGTTCCCGCTGAGATGTATAACGCGTTCACTTGGCTGGGCTACGTGAACAGCGCTGTAAATCCCATCATATACACCACCTTTAATATCGAGTTCAGGAAGGCGTTCATTAAGATCCTGCACTGCTGAGCTGCTGCATCTCTTACTGATCTGACTGGAGGAGAAGTGAAAACTAAAAAGGGTTAGGCCATCTCTTCTGGCAAATACCTCATCCTGTTCAGGAAAAAATGCACCACATGGGAAAACTGCAATCGGAGTTTTAAGAAACAAAGAGAAAAGAAGAAGAAAAACAGCAGAGTGTCTCCTTGGAAGGCATGTTGGCTCTGTGTGTGAATTGTTTGAGGAGTTGTGCTCTCCAAATAACTGAATGTAAAACAAGAAAAGTCTGTAACAATGTGGAAGAAAAAAAAGTAACATTGTTCTCCGAAGTCATTGTGCTTGTTACGTAAGGAGCCATCTGTGTATAACTACACACATGCAAGTTGCAAACTGATTTTCTGTGTGTGTGTGTGTGCGTGCGTGCGTGCGTGCGTGCGTGTGTGTGTGTGTGTGTGTGTGTGTGTCTGTCAATTTTATGTTTTAATGATTATGAAAAAACTTCTGGAAATCCCAAAAATATCACATCAGTGTTCATTGCAGTGTTAATCAGCTCTCTCACTGAGGGGAATGTGTGTCGAAGAGAAGATTAACTTTCTGTAAAATGTGACGATGCCAATATCTGCAGTTTTGCAGTTTTATAAATTAAGCTCTTATCATTATTATTTTGTTTGCTGTAATGTACATAGTTTTAAAACACAGTAACTGTGATTATATGCCTGCAATGGAAATGTGATGCATGCTACACCACTCCTCTATTTGACTTTTCATAAAAAAATTTTAAAAATGTATGTACAAAATACCAAAAGAATTCCCAAAAAATAAAATACCCATGTTAAGTTCCACATAGCAATGTTTACAATATATGATTTATTAATTACTTGTCACTGATATGATAAATGTTGGTGCTAACAAGCGTGTTTCTGCAGTGGAACTGTTTCAAAGCAAACTAATGACCTACCTGTGGAGTTTGCTGCCTCCAGGTTTAAATATTACGATGTGTGAACCTCCTGAAGCTTCTCCCGAGGCCTTTTACATGCAAGACTGAGGTAAATTTGGTAAAAAGAAAAAAAAAAGGAAAAATATCCTGAAATAAAAGCTCCAAGCAGTAAATCCTTGTTGCTCAGGGTGACATATATTGCAGCATATTTAGATCAACATTTAAGGCATTGTTATCTACAACCTTCCAGATTTCTTCTATTACCTTTGCTCAAACTGAGATTGGGTTGAAAACTACGATCTGGCATACAGCACTGAACACAACAGCATTGAGTGTATAAACAGAAACATTACATTTGATGTGAATATGAAAGGAAAGGACCTGCTAGTAGTTTTAGTAAAAGGGCAGGTAAACAGGCTGCAGATGAGATGTGTATCTTTTCCAAATTTGTCTCCAACATCTCCTCACCCCTACTTCACACTGGAAGCATCAGCGTCATAGAATGGCAGCAAAACATTGCTGCTTCAAATACAATCCATTATAGTTTATGGGGGTGATTCAAACTAGCCGCGATGCAGAAATTTTCAGGCACATGTCAGAAGCGGCTCGCTGCACCACTCTGCTAAAGATAGGATCAGGTTCTATTTTTGCAGCGAACCGCTTCTGAGACACATCAATTTCCGCAGTTAACATAGGACTAGACAGGGAATCACACATGGTATCAGTGTAAAACCTCTAATTTTCAAAATGAAAGGCTGCAGTGATGCAATTTCATATGTTTGTAGATTACATCAATACATGTGACCTAAAGTCTTATTTACTCACAGCATCGTTCTAAAAGTGCAGCAGTGCGTTTTTCATGGCTTTAATCCTGGCAGTGGAGAGAAACATCATTTATGACATCAGTGAAATCAATTGTGATTTCCTTCTTTTTGGTTTAATAGCGGATGACATAAGCAAACTGTAAACTTTGAAGCCTCCAGGGATTTTGTGGTCTTGCAAGTCCAGCTAGGAGCACGGCAGAGACGCCGCTCCTTGGCTGAGATTCTCCCGGTGTGTACTAACAGGCAGCGAAACTCACAAGTAAACTGCTCCGCTGCCATTCCGCTCCCCTAAGGCCTCCAGTGTGAAGTAGGGGTCAGAGTTCATTCACATTTCTTGTAAATTAAAAGAAGGAAACCAGGTGGGATGCAGAGGTCCACAGTGACTTTATCACTGTTTTAAGAAAACATCTGTCATGGAAAAACTTTTGAACACATTTCGCATCAGGCGGCACAGCTGCAAGCCCCCGCGACTCAACTACTACGAGAAATTTTGAAACCACCTTCACAAGCACATTTTGCTATTTGTCACCAACAGTCACATCTGGGTGAGGATTGGTTTTTAACCAGAATGCAAAAGACCATAAAAAGTCATTGACAGGGGGATTCTGCTATTTGAGAGTAGCTCAGAGTTGAGTCAGCACTGCTCTACGCTGTAAGGAGCCAATTTAGCTCAAAGGCCATGTTCACTGAGAAACCATTTATTTTTCAAGTTGCTATTTTTGAAATAGGATCAGTCACTCTGACCATCACATGCAGGCTGAATGCGAAGTCTTCAAAACTACTTCCTGCAGTAGAGGCCTGGAGAAAAAGATGGGGAAACTCAGGTTGGAATATCCTGACAATTGCACGTCACATTGGGAATTAGCATTCGTGGATTCACCTAATTTGGCTCATGACGGGGAAGGCTGTTGTTGATTTAGCATCCTGGAAAAAGTAGAGAATGTCTCAACTAATAGAAGCAAATCATTAGCATTAGCAACTTCACAACATGCAGAACTTCTTCAGACTTTTGTTATTTGTGGAGATAAAACATCAACGTTGCAGAGCAGTCAGTGGTAGAGCCGTGTTGCTGATATCCAATTAGAGGTTAGATGTCCAAATATCAGGAAATAAGACTCCAAATACTGCTGTGTTCAGCTCAACTCAGCTGTTGCCCAGTTCCTGAAGCAGGAGTGCCAGAGTGTATGTTCCACAAGTATCGGCTCACAAGACATTCATATATGCTAGAGATCACTGAAAATGCATGGAAAAATTGGTGAACTGGGTGTTTAAGTAAGCATTTGGTAAGGATGACTCCCGGATATGTTCCAATAAGATGATTCAGACATGTCTCACCCCAGGGGTGGCGTTAAGCCTGGCTACTTGGGCTCAAGCCCCGAGTGTTTTATGAAAAGCCCCGGATCTCAAACGTGGAAGTAGCGTGCAGTACCAAAGTCCAACAGAGAGGGAGCAGCGAGCAGGAGTTTGTATGCAGCCTGCCTGAGACTCCACCACTGAAGAAGAAGCCCTTCAGCAGCCGGCTTCTTCTGCAGTGCCTGGTTTCTTCTACACTCTGCTTGAAACGCATGAGTGAAGATGGACATAAGGACGTTTTTTAGACAAAAAGTACAATGACAGAACCCCAGCTTTGATGAGACTGGAGTTGACTCAGGTTTGTGAGTCTTATTTGAAAATATTTGTTGTGCTGCTGGTTTGCCTAAAGTTAGCTTACTATCAGGTAAAGTTGTTGGAGAAAGAAAGGGAATATTTACTATCATCTCACACTAAACACTAACAGGAACAATATTCTGCCCTGAATATGCTTAATATGTAGCTTCAGATTAAAAATTATGTGGTACAAGACAAATATATATGATGTTGACTAGTGTGTGTCACGTGTGTGTGTGTGTGTGCACGCGTGCGTGTGTGTGTGTGTGTGTGTGTGTGTGTGTGTTAAGCCCCGGATCTTCTTCAGTCCTAAATCCGCCCCTGTCTCACCCAAAGGTAGCCACGAGGCAGACATGGGACTTCTAAAGAGCTTATACCTCACAGATGTCCTGAGATCAACTTGGTGTTCCACTGGGTGAGCTGGAAAGAGAAGGGTCATGTGAGGTCTTCTTAAACTGTTCATGCAACCTAGTCTTAGATAAATGCATAAAGCTAGATGAATGGATGTTTTTACCTTTTCTGGTTTGTTTACTTTGTTTCTTGGTTCATAAATGTGAAAGAATGGGGATTTTTCCCCTTAAATGTGACAAGCGGTTCACATCTGATTGTGAAGTAGCTGGGATGAAAATCAGCCCGTCTAAATCCAAAGCCATGGACTTGAATCGGAGAAGGGTAGAATGCCTTCTCCAGGTCATGGACGAGGTCCTGTCTCTAGGGGAGGAGTTTAAGTGTCTTGGGGACTTGTTCACGAGTGAGGGACAAATGGAGCAGGAGATCGATAGGCAGATTTGTCTCTTGATTCATAAATGTTAAAGAATTATGATTTTCCTCTTAAATGTGACAACTGGTTTTAATGTAATCATCGGAATTTTACAACAACATTCTTTTTGTACCTTGTTACGGTCGTGGCACACAGTGGAAAAAACAGGTGATGCTGAGAGCTCTAATGTGAAGGGCTAAATGAAGGCTGATGAGATATTTCTAATACGCTTCATAAAAGAAAAGTGTACTAGATGTTGATCCAGTAGGCAACTGCGGCTCAGGAGGTGAAGCAGGTCCTCCAGTGATTTGGAGGGTTGCCAGTTTGATTCCAGGTCATTCATTCTGCTGTTGCATCCGTGAGCGAGACACTTCACCTGCCTCCCAGCCTTACCTCTGTTCAAAATGATGTGCCAAATGCATGACGACAAAAATATTATCTCTATACCCAATTACAGTTTGAATTTAAAAACATATTTCCAAAACTTTTTAGGAAGCTACTTTGCCAAAACAAATAATTCTGTAAACTTTTCTTCAGTAGATTATTATTCTCCAAAGCCTCAAACCAAATCAAAGACAGCAACATCCTGTTTCAGGAAACACTAGCACAACAGCAAACTAACAGGAAGACCAGAGAGCGATAGAAGCCCTGAAAAGAAAGATTTTTTTATTTTTATTTTTTTGCAGGGCTTTTGTGAGTGGAGCCAAAACAGACAGCATTAAAGTTCTGTTGTTGCAGCCGCTCCTGACCTCTGGCAAAGGCAACTTCTCATTTTTGAAATCTCGTGAAATGCAGGATTGACCTGTTTTTCTTGTGTCAGTGTAGTTCACTGGAGAGAGAACAAAGGCCACAGTGTTTAGCTCTGAAACTCTGTTGTATCCTCATTCAGATGAAATGAAATTTGATGATCAGATGTTAAAGGTTCCATATCATGCTATTTTAAACCTCTGAGAAAAAAGGTAGGCACAGTATATGATAAAATATTGCCGTTGGCACTAGCGATGTCCCAATCAGGTTTTTATGCCCTCGAGTCCGAGTCATTTATTCAGAGGATCTGCCGACACCAAGTCTAGATCTGATACTTTAGATACATTAAAATAAAAAGACTTTATTTCAAATATAAAAAAGTCTAATAGAAAATAAAATTGCACCTCAACTTACAATACCTGGCAGGGGTCTATTTTGCCTTGGCCCCCAAAGTGCCTTGCCTGGGTGTGGGGCTGAGTTTTGAAGGTGATCTGAATTGTATCAAATAAATAAATATTACATGCTGATAAATTGTTGCTTTATAAAGGTAAAAGCATGTAGTGGGATCAATCTAATTGCATTTTATTTGTTAAGAACTTGGTCTTGATTTCTTGGTTTTTATTTTCCTATTTTCCTGTCATGTCTGTCTCGGATCTTCCTGCATCTCCTCTAACTCCTCCACAAACACTGCTATCTGCAACTGTTCTATCAGAGAAGGAGAAACAGTCGGCTGCTACCACTTCAACAACAAAAATTAAATCACAGACAACAATATACATTTGGATGTAAGAAAACAGTGACTGGTGTTCAGCACTTTCTCATATCCTCTGATAATGTGAGTTTCCAGTTTTAGCTGACACGGATCCAGGGAAGAGTGCCAAGCGGAGGGGTAAGTGTTCCATGACCATGTTTACAATCAAAACCTAGCTTGTTTGCAGATTCACTACAACAGCTTTAAAGTAAAAATGCTGACTGTGAAAACCAGTATTAGGACTTTTTTAATGATTGGGCCACCTTGTTGTCACACTTTTTTCTGAGTGGTTAGGGTTTTGTAAATATGCATGTTTTATTTTGTTTACGGAAGAAATCAATCTAACATGTAGAGTGTTACACGTGGGTGTCAATTATACGGTGTACATTTTAAGACATCCTCAGGTCTCAGGTGTCAGACATCAGACAATGGAGAAAAAAGCCT